TTTGTAATCTGTTAGCCAAATCGCCGACTCCCTATTCACCCGAAGTCACCTTCGAAATTAAGTGCCGAGCCCAGTGGCTGTGCTGGTCTGCAGCAATCTGCTATAGAAGTTTTTTTCTTGCTAATAGCTTTTGCTTGTTTCCAGAGTTTCTCCTCATTCACCAGTTTGATCTTTGAGTAACCATAATATTTGCAAGCCTCTTTCAAACTGAAGGTCCTTGGATCACCCTTTGTATTTCTCTCTGTATTTATCCCCTGAGATGGTTCTTTTTCAAAACAGACATTCTTTGGTTTTGACTTCCTGGTCTCTAAGTCTGAAAAAAGGCAAAAAAATATTCCCTGAAATTAGCTAGAGTGGAAATGAGACAACAACATTATAAATACTAGTACTCACAACATCTTTGCTCCTCAGCACTTGAAAGAGTTCCTTCGTGGCCAACCTGCCCAGTGCTGTATGTCATCTAATGTCCTGACTGCTGCTTCCATTCACATTGACTATAGAACCAAGCAAAGTGAAGTCTTTGACAATCTCAATCTTTTCTCCATTTATTATGATGCTGCTTATTGGTCCAGTTGTGAGGATTTTTGTTTTCTTTATATTGAGACATAACCCATACTGCAGACTGTATTCTTCAATCTTCATCAGTAAGTGCCTCAAGTCACCCTCACTTTCTGCAAACAAAGTTGTATTGTCTGCATATCTCAGGTTGTTAATGATTCTTCCTTCAATCCTGATGCCATGTTTTTCTTTATATAGTCCAGCTTCTCGGATTATTTGCTCAGCATATAGATTGAATAAGTGTGGAGAAAGGATACAACCCTGACACACTCCCTTCTTGACTTTAAACCATGTAGTGTCTCCTTGAGGACTGAGGTGCACCTGACACAAGCCATGATATTTTCAATCACCTCATATACATGTGAGAGCTGGACAATGAATAAGGAAGACTGAAGAAGAGTTGATGCTTTTGAGTCGTGGTGCTGGCAAAGAATGCTGAAAGTACCATGGACTGCTAGAAGAACTAACAAAACTGTCCTGGAGGGAATGCAGCCGAAGTGCTCCTTGGAAGCAAGAATGACCAGACTTCATCTCACCTACTTTGGTCATGTTGTCAGAAGGAACCATTCCCTGGAGAAGGATGTCATGCTCGGTAAGGTGGAGGGTCAATGAAAGAGGGGAAGACCTTCAATGAGATGGATTGACACAGTGGTTGTGACGATGGGCTCAAGTATAGCAGGGATCATGGAGCTGGCGTGGGATCGGGCCGGTGTTTCGTTCTGCTGTTCATGGGGTTGCTATGAGTCAGAAACAACTCGATGGCACCTAACAACAACAACAACAGTACTCACAAAGATGAGTCAAGCACTGAACAAATAATTTATTGAATACCAACTATATGTTAGGCACTGTCCTGTTCTATGATTAAATGATGAGCAAAACAGATACAGTATCAGCTCTTTAGAAACTTACAGACTACCAGGAAAAACAGTTGCCAATCAAATAATTTCAAGTATGATGAATGCAGTAGCGTGCTAATGACAGCTCAATTAGGGAATAATCAGTTCTATACATTTGGATGATGACTCCCCTAGCTTCTGAATCCTTGCAATCTTCCATGCATTTTCATAAACCCTCATGTCTGGAGTTCATCCTAGCTAGAGTCATTCTTTAAATACTTGTATCTTCCACTCCTCCTGGCACCAAACCGAAAAAAACAAATGCACTGTTGTGGAGTCAATTCTGACTCATAATGACCCTATAGGACAGAGCAGAACCCTCATAAGGTTTCCACAACTGTAAATCTTTATGGAAGCAAACTGTTACACCTTTCTCCCAAGGAATGGCTGGTGGATATGAACCACTGACCTTTCGGTTACCCTCCAAAAAAACCAAACCCACTGCCATTGAGTCCATTCCGACTCATAGTGATCCCCATTGGGTTTCCAAAGCAGTAAACCATTACAGAAGTAGATTGCCTCATCTTCTTTCCACAGGGCAGCTGGTGAGTTTGAACTGCCAACCTTTTACTTAGCAGCTTATTATTTAACTTTTGTATCACCAGGGCTCCTCCTACTGGCATAGTTCCTAAGAAATGTTCCTTGACGTTTGCTGCAGCTGCTGTGAGATTAAGATATTACCCCATTTTCCTTTGCTACCCTGAGTGCCAGAGATTTCCTTAGCCCTCTACTTTCTTTCTCTTTGAGCTTCCTAAAATGCATGCACATATACACACACAGAGACATTCTCTGAACACTGTTTCAGTGTCAGTATGTATAAACCACATTGTAACACAATTTATTTTGTAACGAAGTTGGGCCTTCATAAATGGAGAATCTTGTAAGTACTATTTCAACTTTATTATGGTACAACAAACACATGTTATATCTTCATAAACTGTGACTATTTTTAATCCATTTTTATTGGTGTAAAAATATATATAACACATTTGCCAATTCAACATTTTTCAGGTGTATAATTTAGTGATATAAATTATATTAATCATGCTGTGTAATCCTCACCCACAATTGTTGCCAAATTTACCATCACCATAAACAGAAATTCACTGCCTTTAAGGATTATTTTTAAAGTAATCTTAATATGTGGATTTGACATCTTTATACAATATATGTAAATAAAAGTTGAAAGAAGGCAATGAGAATTCAGCAGTGGACAGAAATGGCAAAAAGGAGACTAATCCACTATTCGGGGGGGGGAAACATCACTGCTGTCAAGTCAGTTCCACCTCATGCAGCCCCATGTGTGACAGAGTAGAACTACTTTTCGAGGCTGTAATCTTTAATGGAAGCAGTTCACTGGGCCTTTCTTCCACAGTGTCTCTGGGTGGGTTCAAACTGCCAACCTTTAGGTTGTAAAGTCAAGTGCAATTGTTGTGACACCCAGGACCTTAATCCACTATTAGGATAGCCAAAAAGAACAAACAACCTATTAATATTAAATCCAATGGGCTTTTCAAGTCTTTTGTACTTGACCTCTCTAGCATTTAATGCTAGAGTTCTTCTCCTCCTTCTTGAACTGCTCTTTCTCTTGGTTTCCATGGCAACTAATTTTACCCAGTCTTTTTCCTCACACTGGCCATGTTATCTTAAAACCTCTTTTGGAGGAGGCGGGGCAAGATGGCGGACTAGGCAGAAGGATTGCACAGACCCTCTTCAACAAAGAAAAGGGAAACCAATTAACACAGACACAGAAGATAATCTTG